CCGTTGCCATGGAAGACGAGATGCAGAGGAGCAAAACTTGCCTCCCTGCACCGGCCTAAAACGGCCATAAAAGTCAAAGACGTAGAGTAGGCCAGTGCAAGCCATCACAGGGCGAGTTAATGGAGCAGAAGTAAGCGGCCTTTAGCCATAAAAGGCCACAGAGAGAGAAAACAGAGCAGAGAGAGTAAGAAGAAAAAGAGAGAGATTGAGCGAGAAAGATTGAGATTTTCGCTTGCAGGTGGAAGGACAAAGCTATAGGAGCTTTCCCGTTGAGCCTACTCGTCGACAGTCCACCGAGCTAGAGTCCCTAACAGGTAAGTCTTCTCGGCCTCTATTTTTCCCCTGTTCTGGTTCACTGGTTGGCCGGGACTTGCGCCGGCCGTTTCACGCAAATCCTGGCCCATACCGATCCTGCTCCTGGTCTAGACTCGCTGTTGGAAGCAAGTTGCAGTTGCCATAGCAGGCCTTGGCCCTGAAATAGGTTGGAGTTCCAACTGTTCGAGAAAATGCCTAAGTAAAGCTCTGTTTGATTGAGTCTCAGCCGGCGATCTCAAAGTTGACGGGGGAGTCGTGAGGCCATTCCTAGCTGTGTGATGGCTGGGTGAGACTAAGGAAGGCCAAAAATTGGCCTGGGTTTGCCGGCCAAGCTTCTACCTATGTTTGGGCTCGAAAAGCCTCGGTCAGAGCTCGGCCGGTGGCCACTGTGGCTAGCCAGACGGGAGCAGTCTCAACCCCAGGTGCCGAGGCCGATGGCCAAGCGAGATGGCCAACCAATCGTTGTATCTCGCCTGGTCGGCGTTCGCGTGTGCCTGTGCATGCGGGAGCCGGCCGAAGCTCAACCTGTAGACCCAGTCGGACCGGTCAAACCGACCTATTTTGTCTTTTACCAATGGATCGAGCCCTAACCGGGCTCGATCCGGTTCAAAACCCGGGTCAACGCATTCCGTTGGGTCCGTTGACCGGGGTCGGTTTCAACCCGATTTGGATCCGCCAACTCGACCCGGTTTAATATTTTATTATTATTTTTTGAAAATAAAAAAATCAAAAAAAAAAATTTATGATTGGGAAATAGTTTAGAAATTATTATTTTTGAATAATTTTATAAATTATATGAATTATTTGATTAATAATTATGTTTAAATAGGATATGCCTATAAGGTTATACAGTAGGATCTTAGACGTTATTGTTACTGCTGTTGTATTATTATTATGCATGTTATTTCAAATTAATATATAATTATATAAATTGTCACGTTTTGAATGTCGTCGCTCTAGTTAGGATTAGAACCTTAGGTTGCATATTTATCTTGACTGCTGATCGTTAATTTAATGATTGTGCATTCACTTTATCATCTCACATCTTATAAGATAGGTCATAAAATCAATCCAAACTGCCTGATAATAAATATGATGAAATGTACTGAAAGGGCACTAGTAACTCAACTAGTGTAACCAAGTCCCCGAATTCATTTAATCTCTGGTTCGCAGAAGTAAGGTAATTCTCTCACTGCCTTACTTAAATAAACTGATTAATGGCGACTCTTAGATAAAAATTACTTGCAGGTTAAAAATCTAAACCACAAGTTGCGATATGGTATGGGCTTGGGAGAGCCCGAGTTAAGTCCCAAACCTAGACTTAGCACACGCTAGGCTGACATCATTCTCCATTCTCTGAGAGAAGGGCAGTCGCGACATTGAGGTATTTAATATCTTGCCCTATTCTTAGCAATTATTTATTGCATTGATTTCTTGAGTGTTAAATTCTTGATTGTACACTTTCATGTTAGTGGTTTAAGCTTAAAATTAACCAAGATTTCTTTCAAAATAATTTTGAAAATAGAGAAAAAAGGTACTGCAAGGACGTTAGATTAATCTAGTGTAATCAAGTCCCTGAATTTATTGAATCTCTGGTTCGCAGAAGTAAAATGTTCTCTTACACTTTACATGGGTGTCTAATTGGCCCTGATTCATTAGTGGTGGCTCCAACAGGTAAGAAATTACATTCTAAATTGAATACCAAATTGCGATTGGTAGGGCTTGAGAGAGTCAATGCTAAGTCTTTGGCTTAGTAGTCCATTTGCTTTCCTTTTGGTAGATCACCTCAGGGAAGGTCATAACAGTTTGGCGACTCTGCTAGGGACTTGAATTAAAATTCATAGTGGACTTAGGCCTGAGATTTCTCTTTTCAAAAATATTTTGTTTGGCAGCGTGGTATAAGGTGCATCCTTAACATCAAGTGTTAAATGTTGCTGCAGATAGGAGTTATAAGAGTAGAATGTTTGCTAACTATTTATTTTGTAGGGAGGTGTTGAGGTTGAATATCTATTTTGATATTGAAGAGGTGTTTGCATTATAAATTGTTGTGCATGCTTTTAAAGTTTTAACACTACTCTATTATACACACAACTTGCCGCTAGACTTAGGCCGCAATTAGGAAAATTTAGGATGGTATGGAGAAAGATCCAACCTTGAACGCAAGACTGCAAGGTAGAGGTTGCCTTTCTCAACCCCATACTTTCTTTCTTGGTTTCAAAAGTGTTTATCTTTGTCCACAAGATGGCGTGACTATAGGATATCCTTTAACAAAGCCGGAGTTAAGAAGACTCAACTCTAGTACGCAAGACTTTGCGACTAGTCAAATCATCCTCTTAGCTCCATTTTGAAGCTTTCTAATTTAGATGTCAAACGTCACGTCTCATGTGCATGTCTATGTGATTTCCATTTTTCATTGGTCAAGTTAGTTCTCTGCACTTTTTACTAATCAATTTGCTAATTCCATCATATTTTTAATTTCGCGTTGGTCCATGACAAGTGAGCCAATTGTCGTGCCATTTGAAAAACACTTTAAACCAATAGTTTCAAAGTTTGTAATTTCAACGTTTCACAAATGAATAATTTTTCATAGTTGCTCTGTGACTCGTCGTTTAACAACTAGGTATTGCATTTTATTGGGTGATATCCCCATTTCTTGTTAAACTAAGAAACAAAGCACAGTCTCACGCTCTTCTCCTGAAGCGAAATATCATGCAATGGTAGTAACTACATGCCAAATTACCTGATTATCATACCTCTTATGAGACACTGTCCTCTCCAAGCCCTAGTTTCTTTACACTATGATAACTAGGCTACTCTCCACATTGCTGCCAACCCAGTTTTTCACAAGCGAACGAAATACATTGAAATTGATTGCCATCTCGTTCATGAAAAAATACAAGTTGGCCTCATTGCTCCATTGAAGATTGGTACAGAGTCACAACTGTTTGACATGTTTACCAAACCAGTAGGTTGAGATCAGTATATGCGGCTACTTTCTATGTTGGGCATCCGTAACCTACACACGCCAACTTGAGGGGGAGTCTTAATGTGATTATATGCCACCATGGCATCTTTATCCTAGGAGTTATTTTATTCAATCTTTCGGTTGTACTTACCATAACTGAAAGAGTAGATTTAGGAAATATATTTGTAAATGGTGTATAAATATGTACATCTAAAATATAAGAAAAGCGAATCGGTTCACATTGCAATATTCCATTTTGTGACCTTTCTTAATATCAAAATCGGGAACCGACCGATTCGGTTCTTTAAAGTGAAATGAAAAGTCTTTATATAGTCATCCAGGTCTTCAAGTGGAATGGCCACTAGAATTGTTGATAGGCGCCCACCATATCCATCTGCTAATGATGAGTCTACACAGACTTTTGTTACAGGAACTATTACTTTATTTAACCTGCCATGGAGAGGAGATATGGAATTCATCCTAAAGTAATGGATCTGCAATTATTCTTCCTAAATTAATCGCTTCTAGTTGTTGTTCAGCCCTTTTTACCGAATGCAATGAAGTTTCCTCGCTCTGCACTAGCAAAGACTGCTGAAATAGAATCTGATAAAGTCCGACCCTTTTCTTTATTATTCTTTCTTCCCCAATCATAGTGTCATTGGATGTATTTGTATTCCCAACTGTGAGGGCAAACGCTTGACGTTTCTGGACACCTCCAATCAGTTTGAGGATAAATCGAGGATGTCGGGGAATCGGTCCAAGCTATTAAAGCTATCATCGTCATTCATGGGATTGGCAATCGTTTGGTCTCGCAGGGATTGGGGGAGGCGGTGATCTACTTGTGCGACCAAGTCCCCGTACTCTCAAATTTTCTAATTAAATTCTTCTGTTTACACAAAACGTCTAATCAAGTCCCTCAAGTACAAAGTTCAGCCAAATCGGACTGATCTGGCTGTTGGAAAAAGCCGAAGAGTACCGTGAATTCTACTGGTGCGGCCAAGTCCCTTTACTCCCAATTTTTCGAAGTAAACCCTTCTGGTTACACAAAACATCTGATCAACTCCGTGGAGTACAAAGTTCGGCCAAATCCGACTGTTCTAGCCGTCGAAAGAAGCTGAAGAGTAACGTGAATTAATTATTGACTACGCGGACACCCATCAAGGGGATGTAGATAGTGAATGAATTTAATTTTTTATGCTCCCATCAATTCACTATCCACAATGGGTGTTTACGTGAGTAATATTTAATCCACATCATGCTGCGGTGTCATTTGACAGCCAAGTCAGATGGATTTGGCCGAATTTTATATCGGATGAATTTGATTAGAAAAATGGAAAGTATAAGAACAACAATTGTTGAAGCAAAAGTAAGAGGACAAAAAGAAATTTTTTTCAAAAGAAAACGAGAAAAGTAATATTATTTTTTTTAGAGAGAGAGAGAGAGAGAGAGAGAGAGAGAGAGAGAGAGAGAGAGAGAGAGAGAGAGAGAGAGGGGCAGCCTTAATAAAGTAGATGTGCAAAGCTTTTCGATTAGAAATTTGAATGGGTGCGCAATGGGCTAAAGTCCAATAAAGTGAGTATATTGGATCCACGTGCATAGAATTATGTACACAAAGGTCAACCATTTCTGCTTCTAGATTTCCATTTTCTTTGGAGTTTATTCCTACATGGCACACCTCGCATCGGTTTAGCTTCTTCTTCAGTCTCTGCGAGACCAGAACCTGGAAATTAGCCTCAACAGTGCCTGCCACCACGCGAACATAATGTCGCTGCTCCATGCGAAACGCCTCCTTAACTCCTCCGATAGATGTCCGGCCGGTCCACAGTGAGGGACATAATCAGCCATCATAAACAGCCTGAGCTTCTTCATCTTTCTGAACGAGTCTGCATACAAGATCAAGTCTTCTACATCAACCTTGTCCAGTTTAATTCCTTCAATGGCATCTGTTCCCCGTTAGAGTGAAACAAAATAATTGTGCATGTCAAAAAAACAATAAGCCTAACTCTAAGAATAATGCTTAAATTTGTATTAAAACCTTGCTAGTCTAAAAACCACTATAACACAAGCAGTAAACATCTTATGAGGAAAGGAGAGATAAGAGGATTTATATTAGGTTATATAGCCATCGGTTCGACAATAAACACTGTCAGTTTAAAGAGAAAATTGACACAGCAAGAAATAAAGATTCTAAACCCTAATTTCTTGCTCAAAACCCTAATTGGCATATGTGTCTCTCCTGGTCACGCAATAAAAAGTGTTTTTACATCACATGTAAATGCGAAGTGCACAAAAAAAAGACGTGTGTTCAAATTTATTTTTCTTTAGGAAATGCTTAAACTTTTACCGAGTTTTGCCCCTAAGCACTTGTAGAGCATCCTCATGACGCCATATTCTGCTTTGTTTGCTAGGATTTTTAGCGCACTCTTGAATGACGATTTGTCTACCCATTTCTTGAAGCAAATCATGCATCAATATTTTATTATTTTCATCGATGTAAATGAGCGACTTTTGAATTAGAATCTCAATCCCACTATTGGCATGGATACCACAATGTTCTAGGGACTTGATGATCTCTTTTTTGTCATATCTATTAAGAAAACATGCAATGTCGAGAAAGATCGTCCTTTCGTTGGCCTCTAAGGGTGCGCATGACAACCATTCTGTACCCGGAAACTATTTCTACTCAGAAATGATTCTTTTTTATTCTGTGCCCGGAAACAATTTCTGAGCATTTGAAGGCGTTTGGTAACTGTCCAAAATTCCTATTCCTGGAATAGAAAAAGAACAGAAATGCGTTTGGTAACTGCAAAAAATTTCTATTCTAAATTTTTTTGAAGTGCTTTTTAAAACTTGGTATTAATTCTCATGAAGCACTTACCAATTTTATTTTTTTCTTGTAAGTGAAGGAAACATGGTGATATGTATAAACATGGTATATAGTTGGTACAAACTCTTCCCTCTATCACTCCTAGCAGTGTATACCGTATTTTGACTTTACCGTATTTTTGCTCCTATCGAAGAACCTGGAATTAGAATGGAAACATTACTCCAAATCCAAATATTAGGTGAGTGCTTGTATTGAAGACTTTAAGATGAATCTGATCTAAATCCTTTTCCTTTTTTTCATTATGGAGAAAATTTTTGTGGATGTTTTATTAGTTAAAACTTTAGGTATCACAAAGAAGTGCTGGCAGGAACTTATGTAAGTCCAACTTCCCCCTAAGCAACTACCTAAGCAATCTTGTATAAACAATTTTGACTGGACTAAAATTGCACCTTGAGTTACTAGATTTTTCGTTGATCGACTCATGTCATACCATCAGTAAAGCACATGTAATAAAACAAAAGGAAATGACAAAAGTGCATGTAAGGATCCTCTCCCATCGTCATGTAGTATTTAAAAATAATATTACAAAAGTCGGAAACACAAATCATGGAATCTCGGGCAGATTGTAATCCCTTGCCATTTTATTTGCAATACTTTTCCTAAGCATGTTTATCTCAGCTGCTTGCTCAAGTGGTGTATCATCCGCAACCTCCACTTCTCTAGCTCCAAATGGCTCAGTCCACTTTGCATTGAATATCTCTTTTTGAGATGCCATGTAACCTTGATAGGTTGAGAATCATATGAGTCATGCATTAAATCAATAACATAGTCATGTAAAAGTTACAAGCAATGCACGCAACCATTCTAAAGAGAAGTAGCAGCACGAGAAAATAGTACAACACTCATGCTTCAGAAGATACCCATTATTAAAACACTTGGAATATGATGCATGAAGACAGAGGATTGCATATTAGGACCTTATAAAAGATAATCCTGTTAACAAGCTCACACATAATATCACCAATACATGACCATTGAGATGGATAAATAATGCAATTTCGAGAATTTTTCACCTCCACCGTTGTTACGAAATGGCCATTGCAAAAGCAGTAAAACATGCATTTTGTAGACAACACCATGTCACGTTTTGCTATCTTGTAAATAGGTTTAGACAGTCATGACTAAAAAGTGACAAAATTGCAAAATAAACGGACTTTGGATTCACCCACTCCTTTATGGACCGATTCTTAAGCCCTTGAATTACAGAGTATGGAAAAATGCCAAAGAAACTTTTTGTACAACCCATGTCTTCCTATGATGGAAAGAGATGAAAAAAGTTCCAGCATTCTAGTTTTCTTGATCCAACGATGTTATTGTCAACATATAACTCACTGTAAAGATAATTCAGGTACAACAAGCTTGCTCACTGACAACTATTAAAAAGTACACCCAAACAGCAGTGCAAATTCAATATGCTTGCCTACACACTAGAATGTTAATACTCCTAATGGTCTTCTTATGCGCATACTGCACAATATAATGCACCTACAGAACAAATACAGATTGTCCACCATGAATAACCACAAGAAAGTCTGCCTTTGCGATAACCACAGGTGAGGATTTTACCTTTGCGAATCAACTTGGACAAATAATAGAAAGCAATGGACAGAAGCGTGGAGCTGAATCCAGGCGTAATGAACTTCTACTCAAATTGACTAATCACCAATTAGCTTGTTCAATCTGATAAAAAAAACAGAATAACCATTTAGTAAATGAAAATCACCACCCCAATGCAAAAAGGATCGCCGTTGTGAAAAGCAATAGAAAATTAACACGAGACAATTACCAATGACCAACACCATATCACCATAGTTGCATAAAACAACCTCGAGCGAGCGCGGCCCTCACCCAGATTCGCGAGGGCGGCGGTCGCTCGAGCGAGAAGGAGCCCAATGGGCGAGGGCAGCGCTCGCTCGAGCCTCACTGTCACCCAGATCGGCGAGGGCCGCGAACGCGCTCGCTTGGGCAACCGTCGCCGATCTGGGCGACGGCGAGGCTCGAGCGAGCCCGGCCTCGCTCGAGCGACTGCAGCCCTCGCCCAGATTCGCGAGGGCGGCGGTCGCTCTACTGAGAGCGAGCCCAGATGGGCGAGGGCAGCGCTCGCTCGAGCCTCGCCGTCGCCGATCTGGGCAAGGGCTCACTCGAGCGAGCGCCGCCCTCGCCGGTCTGGGCGACGGCGAGCTCGAGCGAGCGCGGCCCTCGCCCACTCGCTCCAGCTTGCCGTCGCCCAGACCGGCGAGGGCGGCGCTCGCTCGAGTGAGCCCTTGCCCAGATCGGCGATGGTTGCTCTAGCGAGCGCCGCCACGACAACACCCTCTACAGTAGCAAGTCATCAGCAAGAACTTACCTCGAATGAGAAGGAGCAGCCTCGTGGGTGAAGGAGCAGCAGCGGTGAAGGAGCAGAGTAGAATGAGCTCTGCACAGGAGAGGAGTAAAAAGTGATTCAGCGCTTCCAAAATTGTTTCTTATTTCTGTGCCGAGAAACAAGAAGCTAGTTTTTTTTGTTTCTTGTTTCTCTTCCAAAATTGTTTCTGGACATAAATTTTTGTAAAAATGTGCCGAGAAATAAAAAATTTACCAAACGCATATCTGTTCCTAAACTGTTTCTGAGAACAAAAGAACAGAAATTTTCACTGTTTGGCACGTTACCAAACGGGCCCTAAGCCATCAATAACAATCCTTAATATATCATGAACCTTTCCCTGAGGGATTTCTTTCAGTTGATCAAAAGCTACTTGCCATTCTTTGACGCTTTTGCCGTTCAAGAAAGAACCCATCACAGTGAGTACCAAAGGAAGACCTTTGGAATAACTGGTGAAGCAATTTAAGAGCATCCTATAATCCCTTTTGGGATACCTTTTTTGGAATGCATTCCAACTAAAAAGCTCAAGAGCTTGATCATCATTCAGCACTTTTACCTTATAGATTTTCCCGCGTAGACCGATTAATATTTCTTCATGTCGAGGTATCAAAATGATTCTACTTCCCATGCCTAAGTTTATTGCCTTGATGAGGTGGCTCAGTGGCTGCAACAACCCTTCAACATCATCGAACACCAACAAAACGCTCTTGTTTTGAAGCTTAGTCGTCATGAAGTTTATTACTTCTTGCATAGCATCTCCAAATTCCAAAAATCCATTGCTGAGAATGTCACCAAAAAGGGTCTCCAGCATTTTGATGAGGCTGTCTTGACTCGATATATCCTTCACATTCGCGAGAAAGCAACTCCAATCAAATCGATCTGCAATTCGATTGTACAAAGCTCTCACAAGTGTTGTCTTACCTATTCCGCTAGTCCCAGAAATTCCAACAATTTGGACCTCTTCAACCTCTGATTGCAGTAAGGAGTTCAAGGCTTGTACTTGAGAATCTAACCCAACCGGATGGAAAGCAAGCAGGTCCGTGCGTGAGCACCTCAGTCTTCTTTAAATATTCTCCACAACGGATTGGATGAATTCAGCTTCAAGTCTACAAATTGTCAACAACTAAAGGTGTGACTCTGGTTATTCGTGCTAGTAAAAGATAAAGAAAAGATCACTCAGATTACATTTTTAACTCGGGAGAATCGTCCATCTAATCTGAATTTAATTTCCAACATCTAATCCAATATAATAGAAGTGGAACATGAGAGGTTGACATGTGCTCTCATAGTGGTGGCACATTTTATTGAAAATATGTCTCGAGTTTGAACCCGTGAACGAAAACCGATTCGAGATAAATTATAAAGAAGCTCGGTTTATTATAGGAAAGTTTGAGATTAAGCAAAGTAGATTACGATTTGGAATCGTAATCGAGAATCAAAGTTGGGCATGTTAAAGCTGCAAAGATAATATCAACTTTCATATATTATGTGGGGCTCTTGGGCTGAAATTGGAAAGTCCCACCTGGGGACAATATTCGGTCAACTTTGATTTCTTTCCTGACCAATATGTGCTGACCGAACTGGACTTCTTCCGTGGCGGTGATATTAATGATTCTAAGGGTTTACTTTTCGGTCTTGCTTCTATATATATATATATGCCGTGGCAGAGGATTGGAGTTCGGGGAAGCACCGTTTACTCTGGGTGCCGTGGGAGTGCTAGTGTCATCCATAGGTGCTGCGTGCTTGGCAGTGGGTTTAGGATTTTGTTTGTGAAATTACACCAAGAGTTCAAGTGTTTGAAGCGATTAAATCTTGTGTTAAGATTTGTGTACAATTCTTTTGCGAGATTGAGATATTATTTCGTGAGGAATTATGGGGCTAAACACTGCGTGAGTTATTGGGTGTAATTGAGGCTTGGGAAACACTTAGAGTTTTTGAGTGACTCGAGTGTGGTTGTAATCTCCGTTGTATTGCTTGATCTATAGTGGAATTCCGTGTTGTTCTCCCCGTGGACGTAGGTCACTACGACCGAACCACGTAAATCTGGTGTCCGATTTATTTTCTTATTCTGTCAATTTTATTATTCGATCGCTTGGCTTTCGCAACAATTGGTATCAGAGCTTGGTTTGGCTGAGTTGAAGCGAATCGATGGCGGCAGAAGAAGGAAAAGTGAGAATTGACAGATTTGATGGGAAAGATTTTGGTTTCTAGAAGATGCAGATTGAGGATAATCTATATCAGATGAAACTGCACTTGCCCTTGTATGGGGTGAAACCAGAGACGATGAAGCAAGCTGATTGGGAATTGATGGATAGATGAGCTTTGGGTGTTATTCGGCTGACGTTGGCACGTAACGTCGCGTTTAACATCGTGAATGAGAAGACCACTGCGGGTTTGATGAAAGCCCTGTCGGACATGTACGAGAAGCCCTCTGCGATCAACAAAGTCTATTTGATGCGAGGTTTGTTTAATTTGAAGATGAGCGAAGGTGTGTCAGTTGCAGATCATATCAATGAATTCAATGTGATCGTTAGTCAATTGAGTTCAGTTGAGATTAACTTTGAAGATGAGGTACGTGCTTTGATTCTATTATCATCATTGCCTGATAGTTGGAATACTACTGTTATTACTGTTAGTAATTCCTCTGGGTGAACAAGTTTGACGTTTGATGGTGTTCGAGATTTAATTATGAGTAAAGACATCTGTAGAAGAGAATCTGGCGAACATGTATCTACTGCTTTAGTAGGTGAAAATAGAGGAAGAACTGGTAAACGTGTTAGCAGAAGTAGTATGAACTCGAATAGACGAAGTCAGTCTAGGACTGGTGGTGTTGTATGTTGGAGTTGTGGCAAGAAGGGGCATCTTAGAAGGAATTGCCTTAAGCTGAAGAACGAGAAGGGTAAGGGAATTAGAGTTGATCCTGCGAATGATGTTGCAGCTATAGCTGATGGTAATTCGGATGATGCTGATTATGTCTTGTCTGTCACTGATTATTCGTCGTTTGGCAGATGGATTATGGATTCTGGTTGTTCTTTTCACGCTACACCAAACAGAAATTGGTTTACTACTTATCAGTGCACGGATAGTAGTAAAGTGCAGTTGGGGAACAACGCTGAATGTGATGTTGTAGGTGTTGGTGATATCAGAATCAGAATGGATGATGGTATTGTGAGGACATTGACTGAAGTGAGGCATGTTCCAGAGTTGAAGAAACATCTGATTTCCTTGAGTGCCCTAGATTCAGCTGGGTGTCGGTATTCTTCAGAATGTGGACTTCTGAAAGTTGTTCGAGGTTCCTTGGTGATAATGAAAGGAATCAAGCATGATGGCCTATATGAGCTTCAAGGTGAGACAGTGACGGAATTCGCTACGGAGACGTCGAATGCATCGGTTCGAGAGTCTGAATTGTGGCATATGCCTTTGGGGCACATTAGTGAGAGAAGCCTGAAGGTTCTAAGTGAAAGAAATTTGCTATGTGGTTATGTGGCTAATGAATTGAATGTATGCAGGTGCTGTGATTTAGATCAACGGCGGAAAGTGCAGTTTAGTACGGTTGTCAGAGAAACCACGGAAATTGCAGAATTGATTCACTTAGATGTTCGCAGGTTGTCACGGTTTCCTTCGAGGAAGAGTGCAAGATTTATGCTAACAGTTATTGATGACTACTCGAGGAAGACGTGGGTGTTTGTGCTTAGGCACAAGTTTGATGCTGTTGTCAGGATCAGGCAGTTAAAAGCTTTGATCGAAAAGGAGACTGGTAAAATGATCAAGTAGATGCGGACTGACAGTAGTATGGAGTTTTGCTCGGAGCTGTTAAACGAATTCTGCATGAAGGAAGGCATAGTGAAACACCGCACTAGTGCCATTGAACCACAACAGGTTGCAGAGTTGATGAGCAGAACATTACTAGAGACGGCCCATAAAAGGCTCTCTAGTGCTGGTATGGCTAGGAGATTCCTGGCGGATGCGCTTAGTACGGCGAGCTACCTGAAGAATAGATCCCCATCGACTGCAATTGAATGTCGGACTCCCGAAGAAATGTGGTCAGGTAACGTTGCTGATTATTTTGTTCTTAGAATGTTTGGTTGTCCATGTTATGTTCGAGTTAGTGATGGTAAGCTCGATGGAAGGACAATGAAGTGCATGTTCCTAGGTTATGCACAAGGTGAGCGGGGCTATAAGTTGTGGTGCCCGGAATTAAATTCACCTGTTATCAGCAGAGAAGTTACATTTGACAAGTCTCCAGTACTTCTGGCTAGGAGTGTTAGTAGCAGTGTTCATACGGATTTGGACAGTGTTCAGCTTGAGGTGGAGTTGCAACCAGAAACTCCTGAGGTAGCGGGTGCTAGCGAAGAAATCGACACAGATGGTGCTTGTAACGAGGTGGAGCCTATTGAGCCAACGGTTGCTGTAACTGCTGAAATTGACAAGGTGCGTATTCAATCTCCCGATAGATATGTATGCAACAATGGTTTTGCTTTATCTATGGTTGAGGAGGTTGTGTCGGAAAATCCTTCTGAAGCAGTTAAAGGTGCATGTGGAGTTAGTATTCTGATGAGGTCCACGGTTATGGCGAAGTTCAAGCAAGGTTTGGACTTGAAAGACGTCTGTGGCGGTTGAGCCCATCGGGGCTGTGGAAGAGTAGTAGCGGAATTCGGATTCTATCAAATCGATTGTGACTTGGTTCAAACGTCGAGCCAAGGTGGAGATTGTTGAAAATATGTCTCGAGTTTGAACCCGTGAACGAAACCCGATTCGAGATAAGTTATAAAGAAGCTCGGTTTATTATAGGAAAGTTTGAGATTAAGCAAAGTAGATTACGATTTGGAATTGTAATCGAGAATCAAAGTTGGGCATGTTAAAGCTGCAAAGATAATATCAACTTTCCTATATTATGTTGGGCTCTTGGGCTGAAATTGGAAAGTCCCACCTGGGGACAATATTCGGTCAACTTTGATTTCTTTCCTGACCAATATGTGCTGACCGAACTGGACTTCTTCCGTGGCGGTGATATTAATGATTCTAAGGGTTTACTTTTCGGTCTTGCTTCTATATATATATATGCCGTGGCAGAGGATTGGAGTTCGGGGAAGCACCGTTTACTCTGAGTGCCGTGGGAGTGCTAGTGTCATCCATGGGTGCTGCGTGCTTGGCAGTGGGTTTAGGATTTTGTTCGTGGAATTACATAAAGAGTTCAAGTGCTTGTAGCGATTAAATCTTGTGTTAAGATTTGTATACAATTCTTTTGCGAGATTGAGAGACTATTTCGTGAAGAATTGTGGGGCTAAACACTATGTAAGTTATTGGGTGTAATTGAGGCTTGGGAAACACTTAGAGTGTTTGAGTGACTCGAGTGTGGTTGTAATCTCCGTTGTATCGCTTGATCTATAGTGGAATTCCGTGCTATTCTCCCCG